CATCTTTTCGAAAAGATACACGCCTTTGTAAAATATTCGAGTAAAGAATTGTTACAAGGTTAGCCTAAGACAAGGCATCTTCTTCCAAAACATTTTCAAAAAAAACACACACACACATACCATTTTCAAGCAATCGAAAATCAAGGCAAGTGATCTAAAAAACCAAGTAACTAAGAGCCCATGGATAACCATGGATGAAAAGGGTGCTAATACCTTCCCTTTTCATAATCTACCCCCCGAACCCACGAAATATCTCAAAAGGTTTTTGCTGTGCTTTTTTAACCTTTCCTTTAGGATAAAATAAAAAGTCGGTGGCGACTCTTGCTCAACCGAAACATTTGCGAAAACAAACGCAAAACCCTAGTCAGTTCTCCCACCGTATCACACAACCAAATTGAACTCATTGTACAAATGATAAATTCACAAATATTTGAATATGCAAATGAATATCAATATGCAAAAGTGTTTTTGTATTATTTTTATGTATGTAAAAATAAACTATTTGATATATCAAAAATAAGAAAATAAGAGATTATTTTTATTAAGGGTGGAAACCCTAATTTTGTTTTAAGAATATATATATATACATATATATATATATATATATATATATATATATATATATATATATATGTATGTACAAGAAAATAAAATAAAATATATACAAAATGTTGAAAAATAAAAATATGTATGACAATATTATTTTAGTGTATAAATAATAAAAATAAAAAATATATAATATTTTTTATAATATTTACAAGTTTTTATTTAAGAAAATAAAAGTATATTATTATAGTAATTATTTCTATGTCCAAAAAATAATAAAAATAATAAAATAAAATGTGAAAATTTATGAAAATATTTTTGGTGATTTTTAATATTTAAAAAAATAAATAAAAGTCAGAAAATAAAAAAAGAAATGAAAAATATGGAAAAATAATGAAATGGGCCAAGGGGGTGTGAACAGCAAGCTGGGGGGTGTCAATAGTGGGAACAAACAGGCCCAGCCCAGATGGCCTTCATCTTCAACCTCTGATCAAACAAAAACGCGCGCCCTGTTCAAACCTGGAAATCCTACATACGTGCTCAAAAGCAAAAACATGCAACATGAAAGTTATAGAGCATAATCACACGATTCTAACCATGTAAAAAACTTAATCTAACTCTCAAAGACCAGAGAGAATTTCTCTGGCCCTAATTTTTAACCTAGTTTTTTCAGAAAGTTCATCATTCAAATTCTCCCAGCTCAGTTAACTTAAATGAAATCTATGCATATGTACAGCTCAAGGGCAATGAGGACTACATTTTTTATTCACAAACCTAAGCCTAATGATTCCTAAATAGAGAGATAGAAGTTTGAACTTTACCTGTTTCAGTCAAGCTCGAGTATGGCAATGCAGGGGTTTTTAGTGAGGCCTGAGATGCTTTTGAGCTTGCTTGAAGTTCCTTTGAGCTTTTCCAATGCCTAACTTGCTTTGAACTTGCCTGAATATGCTTGTAGAAGTCAACCTGCAAAGTCATAATTAAAAAATGGTGATGTGTGTAAATGGAATTACAGTGACTTGGGAATGGTTGGGATAGTTTAGGTAGGTTGTATGGAGTGTGTTGAAACTGGTTGCAAGCAAAACGCACGAGTGGTTTGTGATTTGGAAAAAATGCAGAACCTGCCCTGTTTTGCAAGAAAATGTGATTTTTGTGTACAAGGGTGTTTGAGAGGTTGCTAGCTCGTGTTTCTGGCTTAGTGTGATATGAAAAACTTGTTTGAAATGTTTACAAGCTTTGGTTTTATCAGATTGCAAAGTTGTTGACCTTTTGCAAGGTTTCTTGGTTTTAAAGCAAAAGTGAGAATTGACAATGCAAAGGCTTGTACAATCTAGCTTAGGGTCTGCTAAGAGTTAGTACCAATTGTCTGATATTACTGAACTTTGTTTACTGCAAAAGATTGGGTCCTTGGCTCAAGATAAGCAATTTGACATAAAGCATGCTTTATGTAAATGGTATTACCACCTTTATGCCATAAATGGAATAAAACTTTGTATAATGCTTCATTGATCAGAACAATGCCTCTAACCAATGTGTTTGCATTCAATTTTTGAGTTTGGAAGGGTGTAAGGACATGTAAACAAGTACAAGCATGGTTGGACAGAAATTGCAACTTGTATCAACATGAAAAATGCCATGGACCAAAGTGATATTTTGCCAAATTTAAACCTTCGATTCTCCCTAACCATAAATGATTTTGGAGAGTTCTTGTACATTATGGAAATCTTGTAACATGCTCTACAATCCATCTTTGAAATTCATTTTGAAATTCATTTTGAGATTCCAATTGGAACTAGGTGAAAAAATGTCATGAAGATAGGTCAAAATCCTGCCTAAACTAGGGCAAAATTTCACTAAGTTAAAAGTTTCATGGACCCTTGTTCATAAAATCATAACTTGAGATCCAAGCATCTTTTAGGAAAACTTTGTGAATCAAAGTTGTAGATTTTGTGGAGGACTACAACTTTCATGTTGGAAGTTTTCTTTGAATCCAATTACATCATGGTGAAAATGTTTGGAAAAGTTGGGGGGGAAAAAAGAAATTTTCATAACTTAGAAATTTTCTAAGTTATGAAAATTTTCCATTTTAAACCCTAATTTTCAAAATTAGGTTTCTTGATGAACAAGTTTCATGTTTTGACATATCTTGATGAAAAATGACCCTTGGCACTTGATTTTGACCAAAAAGTCAAAGTTTGACTTTTCAGTGTACAGTTGATTTTTGATCAGTTGACTGGAAAATTCATATGTCAATCCAATGCAATTGAGATCTTTTGAACCTTGTGATTAGGTCAAGATGATTCCATTGAGTCCTTGAATCCATGCTTGAACCCAATTTGCCATTGGCTAGGTTAAAAATCAGAAATTGCCCTTCTACAGTCAAAACCCTAAAAATGACCATTTTGCCCTTTTGATGATCTGATCAAATTTCTTGAGGAGTTGTGGTTCAAACTTGATCAAATGGTTCATATGAGTCTATAATGTTGATGTGGATCAAAAATTATGAGGTTTGACTGTAAATTGGCCACAGTTGACTTTTTCCCCAATACAGTTGATTTTTAGGTCAATTGTCCAATTGACTGGGCAAAAACTTGATTCAAGGCTTGAAACTTGGTATGGGCAATCTTATAAGTCCAACATGAAGTATGAAAGTCACATTGAGCATTGGAAGTCCAAAAATCTCTGTGCAAACTCAAACCCTAATTTCAGGTCATCAGTGCAAGGAGATGTCTTGAGCAGAGCAAACCCTAATCCTGTCTGGAGTCCAAAGAGTCTTGTGAGGGGAAATCTTGATAAAATGAGAGGGCAAATTTTGGGGTACAACAATATGCATCGTACGAACAATTTCTCACTGACCCTCGACAAAATCAATATGCCCCTACTCAGGCAAGTGGCTCTCAACAACAAACTCCTCACTTTTCCCAACATCAAACACCCATCCCCATTATCCTGAACAACAAACTTCTAACCCTCATTTTTCTCAGCTACAAACTCATGCCCCTTATTTTTACCAAAATCAAACCTTTAACACTCAATACTCACAATCTCACTCCCAACCAAATTACATTTATGAATCCTAACAACCACAAATATATCATAAGCCAACTACACAATTCACACCCATCATGCGACCAAACTTCGATTCCCTCTCCTCCCAACATAACCCTACAACGCCTTATTTTCCAACCATGTGTCCGCCACAACAACCGCAATATAATTTTGACGAGGATCTTAACGTCAGTGATTATGATTTACTGGAAAGCATTTGGTCTCCTCCACAACAAAATCCTCCAAAAACAGAGACCCAACAACAATATGGTTTTGGACATCGTGCTTCGCGCCCGCGTTATTGTTTTACCGGTACTCGTTTTGGATTGGGTCATCAGTATTAAATAGTATAATTGTGAAATTTTAACTGTATTTTTTTATTTAGTATTTTGATTGTAATTGTGAAATTTTATTACTTAATAAAAAAAATTATTATTTAATTATAATTGTTAAATAGTTATTTTAAGTTTATAATTATTTAAGTTTTTAAATTAATATTTTATTAATTAAATAGTTTATTAAATTATTTGTAATTAATAATAAAATTAAATAATTAAAATTATTAATATAAATAAAGTAAAAAGAAGAAAACGAAGAAAAAAATTTTATTCAGGCCCTTTCACGCCATTTGAAATGGCGAGAATCCTTGCAGCCCACATTCGCGTCATTTAAAATGGCGTGAACCCCCCTTGAGTGTGGCATTTTGGACAATTATTTTCAAAAGGTGGCATTCTAGAAAATTGATTTAAAAAACGTGGCATTCTGGGAAAAAATTCACAAATGAAATATCAATAATAGAAGATATACCTCTCCCAATCTCTTGGGGTGTTTGACTTTATTTACAAATTCAAAGATAAACAACAAAGTAGATAATGATTGTGTTCTTGTTAATTATCAATAATAATATTTTGTTTGTGTTCCTATTATTGTCTTGTGTTTTTGTTAATAAATATCAATTATTATAAATATTAAATTGTTTTTACTCATCTTTTAAGAACAAAATTGATAGAGCACTGTGATTTTTAGAGTATAAAGTTGTATCTTGATCTTAATGATTGAGCAAAAGATAAATCATCACTCCAAACCATTGCCTTATTTCACAACTATAACTTCACAAATTACTAAAAAGATGAATCATCATTCCAAATCACGACCTTTCACAAAGTTAATTGAAAAACTATTGATCTAAAGAAAAAGGTGTAAAATCTATTTGAGAAAATACACCTTCATGAAGGAAATTTACAATAAAAAATTATATTAAAATTTACAATTTTATAGACTGTAAATCAATGTTAAATAACTGAGCAAATGAACTAGAACTAGTATGTTTTAACTTGACGTGTTAAAGGCAGATAATCAAAATTTATCAAAAGAAAGAGTCTTCTTTTTCCTCCTAACAATGAGGAATATCAGCTGAGGGACTTTCTTGTGGCCAAAACACTGCATTTAGCAACAAAAACCAATTAGGTAGAGGCATACCATACAAACAAAATATAATCCAAGTAAAATTGATAACACCCTTTATAACACTAAAAACTTGAAATTGAGAGACCCTCCACTCTTTCCCACATAAACTTTCTTTGAATTTCTTGAATATTTTCTGCTCTTTTCTTTTCCACCTACCCCAACCTAGACTTTCCTTTCAAAATCATCAAATCAGCCATGTATTATTTCTCCTTGACCGCTATTAAGTTAGTCCTTTCAAAATATGAAATAAATGCGAACTTAAATAGATATGCTTGGTGAAAGATATATTTCCTAGATTACTAAACAAGTTTTATCAAAATGTGCATATTATCCACGCAATGAAAAAGATGTAACAAGACCTGTATGTTAGACTGATGCTGTCGGGGTCTAACAAGCCAACTGGATAAGTTCTTTCATTGATGTTCCTCACAACTGGAACATAATTGACTCCATGTTCTTTCATAATCATTTGAGCATGATGAAGTGTCATATCTGGAGTAGCAGTACATGGTGCACTGCATATTCCTCCATTTAAAACACATAATTCAGAAACTAAAATCTCCTGTCAGAGGAAGAACCAAATAGTCAGATTTGTAAAGCCACTCAGCTATATATTGTTTTAGAAGTATATATTGATATAGTAAATGGCCCCACTTACGCTATACCACGAGCCATTCTGACTCATTTGAACTGAATCGAGCAATCACAGTGGCCAAATTATCATTTCATATAGAGACATTATAGGTAGCCGTTTTCCCCTTGAAATTTACTTATACAATGCTACCTAATAACTATGCATGAAATCCTTCAATATGATGCAACAAAAACATAATATTATCTTCGAGAGATAAATCCACGAGGTCCATTTAAATCTTTCTTTGTGCTTTACAGGTTACATTAAATGTATAGAGATTTCACATTTGTTATAAGTATTATATACATTTGGGTAATTGTAACGAGTGCTGGTTTCCGATCAATGTTGCAGCATCGTCAGGACTTAGTTCCCTAATTATTCTATGTATCATCAAAAGTGTTTATCAACCGCATTTGATGGGTAAAATTTAGCTTACAGTTGTAAATAATCTAGGTTGTCACAAAGGTTGCAAAACTAAAATAACTTCACATCAAATTGAGATTATACTTTCTTGTACCTTGGAATTTTTGATTCCAGCTTTTGCAGATTTTCCGTACTCTTGAATGTCTATAAGTGTCAATAAACCAATCAAAGTATCATCAGTATCAACAATTACTGCACAAGACTGTTTCTCTGCAAGCATGAGATCTATTACTTTAGTAAGCGGTGTGCACATGAAAACCGTCACATATCTTGTCTTCATGGCTTCCGAAACTAATGTTCTCGTTACAAAATTCACTGTTTCATCATTCTTATCCTCTACCCTACTAGAACTTTCCACTTGAGATGAATTACTCAAATATGACACACCTTCAGCAAAGGTATCCCCAGTAGACGACTTAACTGAACTACGAGAAGATATTTCTGGGAGCGAAGAATAATTTGAGTTTTGTATCTTCAATTTTTTTCCATCCCTTTCATCACCTCTCTTTGTCTGTACAGATGAAATCCATGAAGACAAGCCTACTGCTCCAAGTAGGGGTAGAACGATCCGATAGTCCTGTGTCAGTTCAAACAGAAGCAGAACTGAAGTAAGTGGCACTTGGCAAACTCCTGCAAGAGTCGCAGCCATTCCAACCTGCAAAAGGAACTTCGATATGATCATCCGTGCCACGCCAGCTTCTTTTCCTGAACATTTGCAAAAGACAGATAAAATAAAATACTGTAGCTTTCAGTCTCTAACCCTTTCAACATCTTTTTCAAGCTGAAATCTACTCTTACAAGACTTATTAGACCCAACAAATCAAAGTGTAGCAGCATTCCAGCATTGACAACCATATACTGTAACCTTAAAGACCAACAGAATTTCCAAAATTTGTTTTGTACTCTAAACTGGAATGGGGAGCTACTTGGACCAAACAAAACATAGTCCCACATGATATGATTAAATTCTCTTCCTTTTTTCTCCTGGTTAATGTTTAAACATATAAAATTTCCTAAAATACCTTGATATTATTTTATATTATCTTCAATGCATTTCGTATTTTGGATTGTGTTATAGGATTAGCTTCTCATCTTAGGATATCTTAGATTAACTTCTATATTTCCTAAGTATACATATGATCTGTTTCCCTAAGGAGACTTGTGTTAGTGCTTCATCTTTTGTATTATCAAACAATAAATCATTTGACACCATAAAATTTTACAACTATTTTTTCTCTTCTCCATCTAAACTGCAATGATTTCAACATGGTACTAGAGTAGTATTATTCTTTGTGATTTGTCCTACACTATCATGTTGCCATGTTTGCAAAGGATTGGGACTGCTAAGATAATTGTATTTAGAATCCTTTTGTCACAAAAATTATGTTGGAAATATCAAATTGATCTCTCATCCAAAAGAGAAGGAAGATATGATCATTCCAATCGAAACACAAAATACCTAAAAAATTATAGCAGCAAATAGGAAAGAATGGTACATACCAGACCATAAGCTTGTGGTGAGGCCACTTCCAAAAGAGAGAGGTCAATCACAGAATTAGAGTGAGCAACAGCCAAGGCAATTAACTTCCCGTAAGCCATCCCAGTTGCACCGCCAATAAAGAGAGACGGGGCATAATAGCCTCCCACTAATCCAGAAGCCCGACACAGAGAAGTTGCAACTATCTTGACAGCTACTAGCTGAAGCAATAGGTCGGTGGAGAGACCTTTGACAAATGGGCGAGATTCTAACAAAATGTCAACATTCTCAAAACCCCAGTAGAGTATTTCAGGGTATAACAATGCTATGAACCCAACCGATAATCCTCCCAATATAGGGAAAGAAGCTTTTGGCATGCCAGTGACCTTGTGAAGATTGTCAAATATAGTAACCATATAGGATGTAGACCAAGATAGGGTTAATGATACCAAACCACATAAAATACCCAGCAACAAATACAGCGGGAGCTCTGAAATGAAGTTGAATACTCATATAAACTATTGTTTTGTGAAATTCAAAATCATATATCAAGAACTAAGTTAGTAATTAAAAATAAAGAAGATAGTTACCAGCAGGAGAACGGAAGTCGTAATCTGGAACTTGAAAGGCTGGTTGAGAGCCAAGGCCAATTTCAGAAATGACAGAAGCTATGACAGCACTGAGAATGACAGTGGAAGTAGAATTGGTAAGCGATAAAGATGAATTAGAATCAGAGGGCCACAGGACAGACTCAACCGCAAAGAAACAACCAGCAACAGCAGCATTGAAACCAGCAGCGAGACCGGCAGCAGATCCAGCTGCAAGAAGGGGAAGAATTCTGGCGGAGGTGAAGAAAGGAGTTGAAGCAATCCATTTGGCAATGGAGGTGCCAATATCAACGCTGGGACCCTCAGGACCTAAGGAATTACCGGTACCTAAAGTAACGGAAGCTGCAATGGCTTTCAAGAAAGGTTGGGAATCGGAAAGGAGGTTGAGGAGAGAGACAATAAGTCCTCCAAAAGCGGGAACAAGTATAACCCTTTTCCATGTATCCTGAATAGGTGCTTCTCTCAACCATGAGGCTCCTCGATCGGGAATCCCATCCCAAGACAAATCACGAATTTCATGAACCTGAAATCATCATGATAAGGAAAAGCAATAATAGGAATGAATGAATGAATGTTTATGAATGAATGGATGGACTTACAACACTGTTGAAGAGAACAACTGCGACGCCGGTTAAGAGACCAACCAAGCATGAGGATATGATTCCGGAATTTCGTTCTGATGAAGAATAAGCTTCTTCCTCTTCCTTGGCGTCTCTATTTTGGGTATTATTGTGAGGTACATAAAACCTAGGCCTTTTTCGAGCATTTGAAATAGTGAAGTTGGGGTGATTCTGGATTGAGGAAGAATGAGGGAATAATGAAGAAGGCGAACGTGTGAGAAGAAGAAAGCGATGATGATGTTGAAGTCCAACTCCAAGCGCATATCCTAAACCAACCATTTCTCTAAATATTCCATCTTCCCCCGCCATTCCAACTATAACAACTCCTTTTTTTTATTATTTCACTTTTATTTTCCTTCATTCATTATTCACTTCTCCCTGCGACAACTCAATTCATAATCTCCACATCTTTAACACGACTCTTGCTGAATACTTTTTTTTAGGGACTCTTGCTTAATACTTAATTTACGTTTTTTTTGTTACATTTAATTTACGCTTTACTACTAATGTACATTAATCTATATATAAAAAATCAAAAAAAATTTAATAGTATTTCAAATACTTTGAGAATGTCTTATAGTCTATACATAGAATTACATTGAATAATTCAATTTATACTTAAGTTTGTATAAAATTGATGAAAATTTTATACCCGCCAGAGCCCCACCATGAGTAGCTTAATTGCTCTGATACATTGTTTTCAAGTGTCCAATGTGCTACCTACAAGCTGCCACTAGCACTTCTACGTCCAAGTCCTCGAACTCGGTCTCAAAGGCGGAGTTGGTGTCGCCCACTAGCAAGGAGGTATGGAGAAGATAAGTGGCATAAGATTTGGGTCCACCACATATGTTCATGTGATACTTTATCCTCTTTATCTTTTTTGTTGAGTTAATGAATGTAACTCTTCATAGAAATTGAATTTATTGTAGTCGATAAAAAGTCGCACTCACGTAGTCAAAGCGTTATAAGTCGCTGAATCTTTATCGCACGATTAAAAAAAGATGAGTTATTTTTATTTTATAGTTTTAAAACTACTATTTTTAAATCATAATAGTCCGAGACGATATTTACGGCTTGAATGCGTGACTGCAATGTCCTTTGAAAGTAATGAATCTTAATCCCTCTTTATAAAGGCTTTTAAAGTGAGCAAAAGTTCTATGTGAGACTATTCCCCATGAATTAATTATCATTTACTCACTTGCATATTTTTCTTCTCATTTTGGAACACACTCATGAATATTTATTGTTCATTAATTACAACAATCCTCTCACATATTCTAATAATGACAAGAGTAATTTCAAAAAAGAGAAACAAAAATTGTTAATATAGTTAAGTATCTTTCAATTTGAACTTAACATTAGTAGGAACAACACAGAGTTTAATTGAAGTTTTAAGTAGCAATGCTTGTCACATTGTCGTATGGTATCTTACTTTATTTTGATATTTTTGCAAATTTGCTTGTATGTTATATAATTTGTTTGCGTGTTTGAAATTTGCTTATTAATTTGTATTCGAGTGTTTGTACTTAATTCATATTTGAGTCGTATTGTAATCATTTCGACTATTGTAACTTTGTACTATTAGAACCCCTCATTACTCAATAAAATAAGAGCTTTGATAATGTTTCTTTTTTACCTAGCAAGTTGACTTGAATCACAAGTTAGAACTCTTAAAATCAAGATGTTGAGTGTTTGATTCGAATCATGTATTGAATGTGATTTGAATCTTAAACTTGTCAAAATATGGGATTTACTACTGGACTGCTTGATTCGAATCATAAAATAAATCTAATTCGAATCACAGACTCTTGTGACTCGAGTTGAGTGTTAATCATGAGTCGAATCATGTGTCTCAGTGAAGTCATATTTGGGCTCTGCTCTTCTTGATTCAAATCAGAAACTTAACTTGATTTGAATCATGATTTCTTCTTTACTCAAATCATGATTTTATAAAACTCAATTTTCCATCTTATATTTATATAGTTGTTTCTTTGGTGAAAGCAACAAGTGTGTGAAAAAAAAATAGTGAAACCCATTTTTGAAACAAAAATGAAATTTGTCTTCTCTTCTTTAATGTGTCTACTCTAAACACCTTTAATCTTTCTCTTCATCTCTAGAACAACTTCTTGAATGTGAATTTGTGCCAGATTCATTTTTTCTGATTGCTGCATCTTGTTCTTGTGCAATTGGTTATTGTTGAATGAATTAGAGCGAGTGAGTTTATTAATCTTGTTGTGTTATTCATGATTAATCAAGCTCGTGATAATAATCAAGAACCAAGACTTATTTATCCATAAATTTGAGATAACTTTGTGTGTGTGTTCTTCATTCAAATTTATCTAATCGTTTGACTAACACCTTGTGTTTTAAAGTGTTTGTGAGATAGTTTGACATTGTTCATCATCTTCATCCTTAGCATTTTTCATTTTTTAGGATATCCATATCTAAAGGTTGAGTGTTGAGGGGGACTAGTGATATATTAGGGTATCTAATATTTTTGTGTGAAGTTTGTTGTTTGTAACATATGCATATATCATTTCTTGAATATAGTTTGGTGCTTATTGCTATCTATCAAGGATAGAGTTTCATTATACTCCAAGGAAGACATTGGCGGATTCAAGTATCAATTTTCTGTAAGGAGGGGGTGGAAGTGATCCATCTTTGGTAGAGTTGAAGAAAGATTGCTCACAGACAAAGTTGGGAGTTGTCCAATCAACGCTTAGCTAATGGTAATGGCTTAGACAATAAATCGATGGGATCAGATGAATTGCCACATATGCATACTTGGAGTAGGTTATTATGGACAGGAAGGTTATTGGATCAAGATATTTTAGAGATATTGTTTTTGTTAGCGGCTTGAGTGTATGCATCAACAAAGAGAATTATCGTTTGAGAGTTCGTTGTAACCAAAATTCTTGTATCAAACTTATCAAAATAGTGAAAGAGTATGATTATTTTCCAGTGGCTATTAACACCATTAAATAGTGGAGTAGACAAAGTAAGGACGAACGTTGAATCACTATATATCTTTGCGTATCTTTTCTACTATCCTTATCTATTTTAATTTTCTAGTATTCATTAATTTTGTTATTGCATTAGTGCATTATTGCATTGGTTGTTTGCCATATAAGATAGACCGTGCTTATAGAGATTTAGTATATAAGCTTAGGTTTGCAGTGTATCAATATTATTGAATTATCATTAAGTCAATTATGTTTTGATAGAACATCTATGTAAAAAGTTTTTAAATCACCTAGTTTAAAGCAGTTTTGTTTATCTTGTGTTTACTTGTCTTAGAAACAATCAAGTACTTAGTAACATCATGTATTGTTTCATTTGGTTTGATTTATTGAGATGCTTCCAAGCTCTCTTATTTTTGTGTTTTGCTTCTACGCTTCTTAAAATATCTGATTTTGTTTATGAGACCTAAAATGTTTTTGAAAATGTCTTAAAGGGAAATGGTTTATTCAACCCCCTCTCCTTCTAGACCTCTTTGTGTCCATATTCTCATCTAACATGAACCTATTATTCCTTGTGATTAGATCATAATTACCTTACACATACTCTTTAATGGTTCTTCATCTACATCTCACACCTAATACTATTTATAACCATGTGCTTTTCTTGTTTCGTGAATTTTTCGTGAGAGAAACTTCGATTCTCCCTTTGAGACGGAACCATCTCCAAATTCACATAGATGAAGTTCATAGTGTATCTAATTTCTTGAGATACATGTTCTCTAAATTGAACTTCATTAAGAGTTTTGAAAACTCAACCTTCAATATGCAATAGTCAACATTATTACATAATTTTACATGATCATCCAATCAATGACTTGTTGTTACCCATTGAATCTTGAGGTTAATGTTATGTTAATGTTATATTGGGTTGCTACCATTGTTAGAAATCTTATTCAAGGAGTTTCAATCTCATACTTCTCGAGGTAGTCTTTAATAAATTTCTTGTCAGTGGCTTAGTAAATAGATCATCCAAATTATAGCTCGATCATATATATGTGAGTGAAATGATTCCATCCTTAATCATTTTTCTCACGAATGATTGTCTAAGTCCTATGTGCCTAGAATTTCCATTATACACTTTGTTGAATGCTCTAGCTAAAGTGGCTTGACTATCATAGGGTATCAACACCTTTGAAACATTTGTCTTTTGTCAATGGAACTTTCAATAGAAAGTCCCTCAACCATTCAACTTTTTGACTAGCGGAAGCAAGAGCCACAAATTATGCTTCCATGGTTCAAAGAGTAATACATGTTTGTTTCTTACTCTTCTAAGAAATTGCACATCCTGTTAGAATAAGATTTGGTTCTGCAATATTATCTGAGTTTTGATGATAACAAATTAGTATGTTTGTATGAATAATTTTGATACTCTAATGTTTGTTATTTTTTATTATTTAACAAATAGGTTCTACTTCTGATGGATGGTGTGATACGGTGGGAGAACTGACTTGGGTATTTTGCGTTTTATCGCAAATTTTGCGGTTAGCAAGAGTCGCCACCGACTTTTCTTTTATCCAAAAGGAAAGGTGGAAAAGCACAGGAAAGACCTTTGAGATTATTTCTTGAGTTCGGGGGGTAGATTATGAAAAGGGAAGATATTAGCACCCTTTTCATCCATGATTATTTCTTGAGTTCGGAGGATAGATTATTTCTTTGCATTCTACTTGCTAGATCACTTGCTTTTGTTTGAAATTGTGCTTTGTGTGGGTTTGAAAGTATTTTTGAAAAGAGGCTATTGTTTAGGCAAACTTTATAATAATTCTCGTTCGTAAGAATGTATACAAAGATGTTGATCTTTTGAAAATATTTTCAAGTTTGTGAGATGTTTTGAAAGTGTAGGTGTTTGTTTTGAAAAATAGCAAAGATGTTTTGTTTTGAAAGTGAGCAAGTAACTAGGAAAATTCTACCTACTCAAAAAGTCTTTCATGTTTATTTCCTTTTTCCTTTGACATTGTTATCTTACCATTGATTTGGTAAGTAACCCTATCTTTGGATGTAAAAGGGACGGGCATGGGTCATCGTATAACCATGATTAGCAATATTGCAAGGTATCTTAGCATTTTTCTTTAGGGACTAAGATCATTTTGAAAGGCAACTTTTGATAGTGTCATCGAGGGACTATGATCTTGTATTTTGCTTGTCTTTGCTAAGATACCTCACATGCATAATATGGCCATTTTTATAAGGCAACCAAGTGGATTTACCCTAGGGGTTTGATTTTCATGCTTTGTTTAGTCTTTGATTAGGGTTTGCTACTTG